ACACACACACACACACACACACACTGAGTCATCATTACTCGTCTTCCAGACCCCCCCCCCCGTTTCTTCACTGACACTGACCACGTCTGAACGAGAACTCTGACTGAAACCTGAAGTTAATCTGTTCAAATCCTTGAGTTTTCTGTCCTCGACCTGAACTTTGTTTCTGTGGTGAAACATCAACTGTAGTTAACAATGGACGACATGTCTTATACACGCTGCCATCTTGTGGTGATGATAATCACTTACAGTCTGAGCAGGAAGGGAATTGTTTAGAGCTGTGGTATTTAGGCCCCGCCCACACACACTCTCGACCAGTCCTGAGTCAGTGTCAGCTGTCAATCATGACGTCTCCGCCTGTTTCTATATCATCAAATAACTGATTCAAACCAAACTGATCAGAAACTTGGACAAACATCAGAGACATGAGAACGAGCTGAAACGACAGAAACATCTTGAAACATTTATTTAACGTCTACTTTCCATGTCCCATCTGATAACATGGAGGAGGAGGTTTCTTCTGGAGCCAGACACCAGAGGGCATACACTTTACAGTCGGCCGTCTTTATTCAGTCTGTGGGTCAAACGTCTCTGATAACATGACTTCCTCTGATTCTACTTCCTGTTTTCACTTGGACGATGATCTAACGTCCCGAAGATGTTAAAGACAAAATGAAAACGTGAAGCGTCACATCAGCAGCTCGTGCTGACAGTTTACTGATTATTATATCTGATTGTATTAAACTGAATAAAATTGATTGAATTGATTTGTTGGAACTTTCTTTTATGTGCGAGTTGTTTCATTTTAAATGTCGTGACTTTTTTTTAATTCTTAAACTTTAAATCGTATACAACTTGACAGTTTGTTCCTAAAATCAAGAAAACGAAAGGTGATTATTTTATATAAACAAACATTTACTGAAAGAAAATCAGATACTTATACATTTGATTTGTTTTTTTTTATCATGCATCAGTTTGTTTCTCATAAAAACATAAAGATCCAGACGAGCTGGTCTCGAGACTCGAGGAGAGATTTTCTCCTCAGGTGTGATTTCTTCACAAGTTTGAAACTTGATGATTGTCCTCAGGTGTGATTTCTTTACTTACAGGTGTGCATGTCGTTCATGCTCTCGCAGCGCCTGCAGCGGACATAGCAGCACCATACGAACTTGCACTCGCAGCGTTGGACGTGTCGTACAACATGCGTGTTGTATCCACGGCCACAGCACAGCAGGTTGCAGCCGTCCGGTCCGGCGGACGTCCGGTTGCAGTGGCGCCCTCTAGTGCCGGTGATGCCGCGGCGCTGGTCTTCCAGGCAGTAGTTGGGAGACTTGTTGAAGAAGATGAGCTGGTGTTTGTCAACGGGAAGGAGACGCTGGTCCTTCCTCCTCATCTTCCTCTTCGAGCGGTCCGACACTTGAACGCTGTGCTCGTACTGCTCTTTCAGATAAACTCCGACACGTTCGAACGCCGCCATCGTCCTCCAACATGTCTTCACCGCACAGGAACCGGAAACACCGTGACATCGACATTCTGTCAACATCGTCCTGTCAATCGCCTAAAGTGAGACGATGAGAAAGTAATTTAAACATGGATAGAAAAGAATCAGACGTGTTGCTGACATCAAATAAAGCATCAGAGACAGAACTGTATTTATTAAATATAAACAAAGATGAAATATTGAATGAAGTCTTTAAAACACTTTTCTTTGTTTCTTAGATGCTTTTAATTTGATGTGCAGGAAGTGATTTTAAATTGAAAGATTATTTTCATTATTTTTATTAGTTCTGATTTCATTTTCACGTGGCGTCTCACCTGGCGTCCGGCCTCCGTGTTGTGCTGGTTCATGGTCACCAGCGTGTATCCTCCTCTGCTTGTCGACGTGTTTTTGGCAGCATCGTCGATGAACCTGCGACTGAACCAGGTTCCGTACTGGATGTGATCCGAGCAGCCGCCCCAGTGCCAGCGCTCCGCCACCGAGCCGCCACCCTGCAGCCGAGCGTCGCAGCCGCACTCCGTCATGTTTCCCTGACTGCAGGAGCGTGTGATGGCGTGGACCAGCCCCGCCGCCATCACCGCATGAATAAACGCTGTTTCTTTGGTTCCTATCAGACGAGAGGGAGGAAGTGACATCATCAAGTTCACATTCAAGAGTGAAAATTATTAAAAAATATTTTATTGTTTTATTAATCAAGTATCTTTGTAATTATTTGTTACATGCATCATTAACAATGTTGTTAAACATGTTTTTACAGCGGGCTCTCACCACTGGTTAACTCGTGTCCGAACACTGGAGGGCGCCGGCTGACAGAGCAGTTCCACCTCTCGTGTCTGAACTGACTCTGACACTCGTCGATAGCGAGTCGAGCTCCGTCCTGGATGCTCGGCAACAGAAAAGGTTTCTTACGACACAGCTCCCTCTGCCTGTGGCTCAGAGGAAGGTTGGAACAGCTCATGTTTTCCGGGCCACCGGCCGACGCGACGCCCAACCACCTGATGAAAGAAATGATGAGTGAACAGTAGAGGGAGACAGATCACTGCAACAACAATAATAACAATAATAGAAGTTAGTTTGAGGATCATTGGTCTGTCACTGAGGGACCGTCGATAAATTCCTGTTGAAACTAAATATGTGTTTTTATTAGTTTTTGTCATGTGACTCACTGAGCCAAATCACACGTCACTGACATCAAAGACAAACAGGACACGCCTCTTTTATTTGACTGCTTCAAAAGTTTTATTTGGTTAAAACTCGAAAAATATTCATATTGTTGATCAGTTTCTATGTCATGTGACTGATAAAAAAAGATCTATAGAAGAGGCGTGTCTTGTTTATCTCGTATGACAACATGTGATTTACAGTCAGAGCGTCAAATGACATGAAGTTATTGAAACAGTTCATTTGTTGACGGTCCCTGAGGATCCACAGGAGCCTGAAAACTCCTCAGGTTATTTCTGTTGATGCTCAAACACTGAA